GGGCAAGTGTGACTGTACTTAAGTTGTCGCATAAGATTTTTGGCACTTGAAAGGGACAGTTAATTTCTTTGAGCAGAGACTAAACCCACAATAACTCAGCAGCCAACAGAGCCATACTACGATACTCAGCCTCAGCACTGGATCTGGCCACCAGCTGCTGCTTCTTGGACCACCAGGAGATGACATTTGGGCCAAGAAAAACACAGGCGCCTGAAGTGGATCTTCTGTCATCAGGGTCAGATGCCCAGTCAGCATCACAAAACCCTAGTAACTGCATAGGTTGATGAACAGGGGCAGGTTGCAAGATTAACCCATGCTCTATGGTGCCACTCAAATACCTTAGGATCCTTTTGACTGCCTTCCAATGTTCCTCCAGGGGATTGGACAGGAACTGACAGACTTTGTTGACAGAATAAGAAATTTCAGGCCTAGTTAATGTGGCATACTACAAGGCACCCACAACAGATCTGAACTGAGTAGGATCCTCAACAGGAATAGAACCCACCTTTCATAATTTACTTGTAGAAGCCATGGGAGTGGGCATGGCATTAGCATTGAGCATATTTACTTTTGAAAGTAAATCAGTAAGATACTTTGTTTGAGAGAGAAGAATGGAACCATTAGGGAGGTGAGAAACCTGAATGCCTAGGAAGTAGTCAAGTTGTCCCAACTGTTTCAATGAGAATTTATCATTAAGAAGCTTGATCAAGGATGTGATAAAGGAAGCTGAATTTCCTATAATGATGATATCATCAACATATACAAGAACCATGATCTGAAGCTTGCCTTGATGGAGAAGAAACAGGCTGGGATCACACCTACTAGATTGAAAACCATGCTGAAACAGGGCACTCTTGAGTTTGTCAAACCAGGCCCTAGGGGCCTGTTTTAACCCATAGATAGCTTTGTTCAACTTACATACTAGGGACCTGTCAGAGGCTGCAAACCCAGGGGGTTGTTGCATGAAAACTTCCTCCTCAAGAGTGCCATTTAGAAAGGCATTATTGACATCAGTTTGCTGGATGATCCATTTGTTTGTGACAGCAATAGTAAGGACTGTTTTGACTGTGACAGGCTTGATGACTGGTGAAAAAGTCTCCTGAAAATCACTGCCATCCCTCTGATGAAACCCTTTTGCAACTAATCTGGCCTTGTACCTGTTGACAGATCCATCAGGGTTTTCTTTGGTCCTAAAGACCCACTTGCAGCCAATTGGCTTTCTAGAATCAGGTGCTTTCACCAAAGTCCAGGTCTGATTTCTCATCAATGCCTGAAATTCTTCTTTCATTGCTTGGAACCAATGAGGAGTGGCCAAGGCTTGATCAATTGATGTTGGTTCCATGTGAGTTAAAAGCATTGTGGGATTGAGTTTAGGTAAGGTAATGCCACTTTTGGCTCTGGTTTGCATAGGATGCACATTGAGAGGATTGATAAAAAGTTGGTTAGAGGGAGAAGGGTTAGAGGAGCCAGTTTTAGAGGAAGAGGGAGAAATGGTAGATGCTTCAGCGGGGTCTGAAAGAATGAGGGCAGAAGAACAGGGAGGGGTGTGGTCACCATTAGCTAGGACTGGTTGGTCATGAGTATGAGAAGCTGTAGCAGAACATGAAGGAATATGGGATGCAGTAGAACTGGAGTGAGAAGCTGAGATAGACTCAGACTGAGAGACTGAAGGAGAGACAGATTGATGGTGTTCAGCCTGAGTAGGAGAAGGAGGATTAAGGGAAGGAGAGGGTGTAGGCTGCCTGGATTCAGAGGATGAAATTATAGAAGGTAATGACCAGGAGGAAGCATTAGTAGAATTGAGATTTGTGTTGGAAATGGAAGATTGAGATGCAGTGGGAAACAAGGACTGGTATGGGAATTTAGACTCGTGAAACACCACATCTTTGGAAATATAGATGTGGCCATCAGGAACTAGGCACTTGTAACCTTTGTGAGCTGTAAAATAGCCAAGAAATAAGCACTCTTGGGACCTATAGGCTAACTTATGAGCATTATAGGGACGAAGGAAGGGATAGAAAGAACAACCAAAGACCTTAAGGTTTGAATAATTTGGGGGCTTATTAAGAAGTTTGAAATAAGGAGATAAATTTTCAATTGTGGGATTAGGTATTCTGTTAATAAGATAGGCAGCTGTGACAAAGGCATGGTCCCAAAATTTTAGAGGAAGAGTGGATTAGGCTAGAAGTGTGAGTCATGTTTCAACTATATTCCTATGCTTACGTTCAACAAGGCCATTTTGATGATGAGTATGAGGACAGGTGAGCCTATGAACAATACCCAAATCATTTAGATATTTGGTGAGAGGCCTAAACTCTCCTCCACCATCACTTTGAACACATCTGATAGGACAATTGAATTGAAGTTCAACCATTTTCTTAAACTGAGTAAACTGGATAAAGGTATCAGATTTGAGTTTGAGAGGAAAGACCCAAACAAACCTAGAAAAGGCATCTACACAAGTGAGGAAGTATGTGTAACCACCTGTAGATGTTATAGGTGCAGGACCCCAAAGATCACAAACAACTAATTCAAAGGGATGAGTGTAAACAGTGGTAGATAGGGTAGAGGATAATCTATGAGACTTGCCAAGGCAGCAAGCTTGACACAATTCAGTAGGTGGTTTGGGAAAATTGGGAAAGTTGCATAGTTTGAAAACTTCAACTAGAGAATGATGATTAGGGTGTCCCAATCTAGTATGCCAAAGAACATATTTACTTGTGGCTATGGAGGATGAACTATTAGAATGTGAAGAGGATACATGAGTATTGTAAGTAGTGGAATTAAGAGAAGGAGTATGAGTAAAACTGCTCGTATTAATATGAAACTGATCAGGATTACAAAGAGTATTACAATGATTTATACAATTTGGTAAACAACTGATAACAGGAGTATTGTGTGCTGCAGATGAAAAGGACAAATTACAGCTAGCCCTGCAGTTTGGAGATTGGGCAGAACAAGAATTTGGAAAACTAGACTTGAATAGCTAAGTGGTAGGATTAGAGAACTTGTAAAGTCCATCATCTCCAACAGACCCACGAAGTAACACTTCAGAAGTAGCCTGAGATTTAACAACACAGAAATTAGGATGAAATTAAAAAAAAGACATGATTATCTTGAGCAAATTTGCTCACACTCATTAAGTTTTTGGTTATATTAGGGACAAGGAGCAGATTTCTAAGGGTAAGAGATAGGTTAGAAGTATGTGGCAAGTGAAAGGACATGGAACCAACAGAATTTATAGACAAACCTTGGTCATTTCCCATGAAAACTTGCTCAGTTCCTGGCAAAGAAACAAAGTCAGACAAATTAGAGGCATCAGGAGTAACATGATGAGAAGCTCCTGAATCAGGATACCACCATTGGTTATTAAAACCAGCTTCAGAACCTGCATAAAACGCCTGTGGTGCAAAAGATCTAGGAGGTGCACTACCTCTGGGAACAGAATAACCAAACTGAGCTGGAAACATAGGGTGTGATTGCATAAGGAAAGGATTATACGAAACTCTTGGAGGTGGATATGCAGCACTGCTGGAATTAGAGTAACGATAGTAGCAGACAGACGCGTCATGTCCAGCTTTATGACAAATCTGGCATTGCATTTTGCCAAAACGGCCTCCACCACGTGCATAGCGACCACCACCACGACCGGAACGACCTCCACGAGAACTATAAGCGTGATTATCAGCGTTGGCAGTCACGTGACTCGTACCTTGAGGGAAAGTGTCCGTCGGCGCTGGTTGATCAGAGGTAACCGTCAAGGACGACGACAGCGGCGCCTGAGTGAGATTCACCGTTTCCGGTTCAGTAACCACAGCCTTACGATGCTTCTCAAGGCGCGATTCATGCGCTAACAGTGACGACTCCAATTCATCCAAGGAAATCAATTCATCTTTGCTGTTGACAGCAGCGGCAATTGGATCGTACTCTTCAGGCAAAGAATCAAGAACGATCTCGATTAGGTTACGTAACGGAACTGGATCCCCAATCGAAAGCAGAGATTCGCTGATTTCGCGTGTACGCGCGATGAGTTCCGTAACAGTGCGAGTACCTTTCGTAAGCTGCCAGAGCTCCGATCGCAGTTGACGCGCTTTGGTTGTAAGGAGCGTATTGAAGTAGCGATGGATTTCAGTCCATACCTGCCACGAATGTCTGCACTCAACAAGCTTTGGGAGAAGCGAATCTGATACAGTAGAGAGGAGTCAAGTGCAGACAAGTGCGTCTTGTTGTTCCCACTCCAGGTACGCAGAATTTTCACCACGTGGTGTAGTATCGGAATCGGACGGTGATCTCTGAGGAATTACCGGAACAGTAACAAACCGTTGAAGGCGATGACCGCGTACGACTCTGTCAATCTGTTGCTTCCATTGCTTGAAGTTCCTTTCATCAAGCTTCACAGAGATCAAGTGAGAAAGCTTCACTTGCGAAGACGGAAACAAGGACTCCATGGATCGGAAAAAAATTTAAGCTCTAGATACCATGATAGAATTAGGTAAGAAGAGAAAAGAAGAAAGCAATTGGAGAAGATGAGATTCTGTTATTCTGTTTTTGTTAATTTTGAAGATACAGAAAGCACTCTTTTATATAGAGAGGCTTAGATCAAAACTAACTAAAGCTTCACTAACAGAAAGTGACAGCAAAGCAAATATTCTAACAGAATAGTATAACAGAAAGTAAACTAACTGCCTAACAATGTGTCAAACACTATTACATAGCAGCGGCAATACTCTCACTTTTGGTTGATCTTGATCATATGAAATTGTTTTTGTACATAAAAAATTCTCACTGTTTGAAAATCGAAACAAATAGTTGTTTATGAACATCATTCTCTTCGGTCCCCAAAACCGTAATGGCTCAAATAATGCCAAAAACCAATATTTGAAGTCGGAACGGACACCAAGCAAGCAATATTCTCTCCACATCAAAACGTCACTTCAAGAAAAGTAAATCATAAAGAAACTCACAAAATAAAAATAAAATAAAATGTAATTCTTAAGGTTTTAATTTGGCAAAGTTGCACAACACATGCAGCTAGTGAAGAAGTAAGACATAGACTTGCCCTTTTCTTTTCCTTTAGGTGAAGTAGATGACAACACTTCCATCTTTGAACCAGCATTGTTATCTTGTGTGTGTTCCATGACTAGAAGATCAGCTGCTGCTTCTTCTTTCGGAAAACTGATGAATGAAGAGTTTGACATCTCTGAGTAACTTCTTTCCATAGTAACTATTTTCTCTTCAATGTGATCATATTCATCATGAGGCATTGAGTTACTGAGATTTTGACTTAACTTGTTTGACAAGCTATCGCTTGCGGACTTACAAAGCAACGGAATTTCAACCGATTCTTCTCCCCTTGATTCAGTTCGGAGGTTGAGATTGAAACTTGGTGATTTTTGCATCTGAGAAGTGATGTTTAGATTATCAGGGTTTGATTCAGTACTTAGCCTTGTTACACTATCCCTTGTTTCATAACCACCATTTGCAAATATAGCCGTTGAAATCGATTTAGTTTTCTCTTCCACACCGCCTCCGCGAATTTCTTCTTGCATCACAACTTGTCCAAGTTCAGTAGTTGCTTTCTCCTTAACATTTTTCACTTCAGCTTTTGGATGCATTTGATTTTTCAAATTTATTTCATAAGCAACATTGGCTTCAGCTATTGAAATGGTTTGAGTTTTCTTCCCTTTTACATCACCATCGGCATCATGAACATCTTGTTGTATATCTTTGGTTAAAGATGATGTTGGTACCTTCTTATTTTCTTCTCGCAACATCTGATTTGCATGTTCACTAGTATCTTCTACGAGTTTCTTATTATCAACTTCACTTGTGTTATCTTCCTCTACAAAAATGACATGAAATTTCAAAAACAAAAAAAAATACAAATCTACTTCAACAAATTTTCTTCAGCATTTCAATACCGAAACATGTACCTTTGATAGCAGAAGTGTTGTTATTTCCCATTTCTTTGCCCATACTCAAATTTCCAAATCCTGCAACATATACAATGTTAAGAGACGATGAAAAAAATTCAGTATTATTCAAAATCTAGAAGAACAACAATGTTAATGATGATGATATTCACATGCTCCTAGATTTAAGCATTTGAGGACAGGTTGGTTTATGTGACATTGCCTGAGTGTTTTATACTTTAATTTGAACAACCAATAACATGGTGTTTCTTAGTGCATATGGCCTCACTTTGGGTCATGTGTCTGCTTAATAAGTATATCCAATAACTCTGGTCATGAATTCTTAATAATTTAAGAGAATGGTGTGGCCAAATAATGTTCACTTTTGGTGAGTCCATAATTTTAAGTAGCTCATATACATACTGGTCTCTCTATTTAAAATGCTTTTAAAAAGAAACGAGTACATATATCTTATAGGACACCGACACGTCCACACCGACAATTAGTGTAAAAACTAAAAGAAATTGAATGTCACATATCAACATGTGTCAGATACTAGACACGCCTATAATTTGAAGTGTCAATACTACTTGGGCTTAGGCAATTTGATGTATTGTTTTTTCATTAATATTTTTTTTATTTTTGTTCTTGAAGTTTATTCTATACATGCAAGGTGGCATGAGAAATTCAGGGTTGGACTCATCATTGAGGGCATTATGATTCTTTGGTACTTCCTTTACCTTTTTATATGATAAGAAATAAACAACTCAGACTTTTCTCAAATATTTTCTGCTTTCAAAAATAATATATAAAGAAAAGAAAAGTTGGTTGTTTTATATATAACTAATAAGTAAAGATATAAAGAAAAGAAAAGTTGGTTAGTTTTATCTATAACTTACTTGTAAACATATCTTGCTCTAGAGCACTCTGCCATGTCCAAGGTGATACGACATCGTCGTAAACAAGATACCAGGTGCTGAATGAACGCGCAAAACAGTGTAAGAAATCAGATTACATAATTTATACTAACAATCTAAACAAATCTTCAAAACGTAAGCAAAAGATTACATAATTTATAAAGTGAAAACTAATTCTTGGACCACTGCCTATCTGTGGCAAAAGTAAAGTCAGAAGACCATGATGAAACAGCTATCGGATGTTTTAAATTATCATATAAAATCAATCTCAACAACTCATCAAAGTTAATAAAGCAGAACGACAAGAGTAGATACATTGACTTATTTAGATATGCCTTCGGCAAAAATCTACGAAGCACTGAGGCAGACACAATACTGACAGAGAAACGGACACTGAGACTGCTAATAATTTGAAAAATATATGAATGTAATATCACATGTGATGATGTTGAGTCAGTGTCTGACACTGACACATGTCGGACACCAAATACACTTTCCATCTGAATTTTTGGTGCTACATTGATGAAAACAGTCTATTGGTTGTCTGGGGATTTTTGTAAATCTATAAGTTCCTGGAGCTTAATTGTGTCAAGATATATTCTTTAATCCCTCAAGGAAACAAGAACGTGTATTTAATCTACTTTCATTTTCTCCTTGACTCAGAACCTCCAAATGCTGCATTTATATTCAAATTACTTGAGATGTACATCACAGGTAAACGCTATCTGAAATTTAATAGATGTTACAAATTTAAAATAAATAAATGGAGAGTAACACCAATTTTTTCGATTGTTGGTTACTTGCATATGTTTAAATAACAATTGAAATAAGTGGTTTCGTTCATTATATGTTAGAACTCCCCTAGTTCAAACCATTTGAAGTGAATTCCAGGCAATAGCCGAAGATAAAGATACATGTATAATCCAACAATGGGATATAGAATATAAAAAGCTCCAATCAATAGAATGTACCGATAAATTTTTACCAAACAACAACTAGAAGAAGAAATAGGATGTACCTGTACTTTGTCAAATTCGTCAGGGAAAGAATGTATCTTATCTTATCCAACTCCACTATCAAAGTTATTGACCTTTTGATGCCCATTTACACTCCACTTATAATACTCTTGGGGTGAAATCGCACCATTAAGTCTGACGAAACCGTACTCCTTTTTCTACACATTCAATTATAATCCGTCTTATACTTGCTTTGATACCATTAACCACAACATTGATATCATTGGCCATATATCAAAATTATTCTATGAAGATATAGACATTACAAATAAGTTACTCAATCATAAGCGTTTATCATATAAGTGTTTATAAATAAATTATTTCTATAACAAAATAAAAATAAAATGTAAAATGCTTATACTAATAGATAAATTCAAATAAGTCAATCTAAAACTCATACTAAGAATGTTGTGGTCTCATTCGCATCTCAATGCTACTTGTCTAGCTGTGTTGGACTATGTGTATGTTTTGATTGACGATGATATTAGCTTTTTCTACACTTGCAGTGATCCACCGTGATTTTGACAAACTCACAGTCAATCCAAACATGCACTATATCCAGGAATACTTCTCACTTCTGTACTCTTTGTCATGACCCTTATTTGGGCTACTTCATCCCACCTCCCCCCTTGGGCTCGTATATTTGATATCAGAGCATGAGCACCTGAGCTATGTGGTTCCAATTTTAGTATCTGTTTCCCTATAGCTTCCCCAATCTCTGTATCTCCATAGAATCTGCAAGCAGAAAGCAAAGCAGACAATGCAGCAGAACTATGTGTTGTCGGCATGCTTTTGACCAGATTGTATGCCTCTTTAAGTCGACCAGCTCGGCTTAATAAATCTACTATACAACTATAATGAACTTCGCTTGGAACTATTGCATATTCCTTCATCATTATCCCAAAAATTTGTAGACCCTCTTCTACCAATCCTGAGTGGCTGCAGGCAGTGAGGATTGAAGTGAAAGTCACTTCATCGGGTGTAACCTTCGCAAATTTCATATGATCAAAGAGATCTAACACCTTTGTATAGTTTCCATGCATCGCATATGCCCCTATCATTGCATTCCATGATGTGAGACACAGTTCTGTCATTTGCTCAAATATGTACCTAGCCAGTAGCAGTTTTCCACACTTAGCATACATAGTAATAAGAGAATTATTTACAGAGAGCTCGTTACCATGGAAAAATCGGTAACTGAAACAGTGAACTTCCTTAACAAACCTTAGACATCCAAGCTGGGATAATGCCTGAATGAGACCAATTAGAGTAACAGAGTCAATATTTAGATTTTCTTTTTGCAACAGACGAAACACATTTATGGCTTCGTCAATGTGGCCATGATAAATATAACCCGTTATCATCGAAGTCCATGAAACCAAGTCCCTTGTTCTCATCCTATTGAAGACTACCCTTGCATCCACTACATACCCATATTTTGCATACGTATGAATAATTTGATTTGCGATTTCCACATGCGATATGTGCATATGCCTCAATACATAACCATGTATAGACCTGACTAATCTAATGTCTCTCAGTTTTGATACAGCAGAAATCAAATTAAGAAACAAAGCCACATTCGGATATACATTCAACTTGACCATTTCACGATAAACATTTACCGCCTCCACAGGTAACTCATTTTCAAGATAACCAGTCATCATAACATTATATACAACAGCATCCTTATTCCCCAATCTCTCAAACATTTTCCTAGCTTTGGTTACATCAATTTTACAGTATAGATCAACCAAAGCAGTGGAAGCCACCAAATCAAGTTCCACCCCCATCGTGACCACATATCCATGAATACTCATCCCTCGACGTAAATAATTCAATTCACCACAACACAGAACAGCATTAGCCAATGTTACCAAATCAGGCAAAACATTTCTACATATCATTTGACGAAAAAGTTTAAAAGCTTCTAAAGCCAGTCCATTTTGAAGATAAGCAGCTATCAAAGTGTTCCAAGAACCAACATTTGTTGTTTTCCGAGCATCCATCTTGGCAAAAACCGAGGCAGCTAACCCTACACCACCACATTTATGATACATATCCAAAAGCGTTGTCTCAAAAACATCATCACACAAACCAATCCCTTTCCTAACAGCATAACCATGAATTGCACGACCCTCTTGCAGCACCCCCAATCTCGCTGCTGCATGCATCAAACTCACTAACGTAACGCGATTCGGAAGCAGCCCTTGCTGCTGCATTGTGGAAGCAATTGTAAAAGCACCATAAGCAGAGAAACCATCAGAGTGAGCATATGCGTTGATAATGGAAGTGTAAGTAACAATATCTTTGTTAGTAATTTCATCAAACACCTTATGTGCATATTTTATTTTTCCAAATTGTGAGTAAAACCGAATGAGAGAAGAACCTACAAAACAGTCAGAGTTGAAATTGAGCTTGATGGAATCCACGTGAACACCTCTTCCAAATTCTAGGGTGCCTGAGGCAACGCAAGCTTTGAGGCAAATGGTGACAGCTGAGGCACATAAACCAAATCTGTTGTGTTTGGAAGACAAATAGCGACGGAGTGTGTCGTCGTATTTGAGGAGCGTCGTGGAAAGGTTCTTCTGAGTCATCAAAAGCACATTCAAATCAAAGAGAAACACATAAGTAGTTACATGAAAAGGCCTTTACCAATAAAAATTTCATTCACCCATTTTTATGCAAATAACCAATTTTTTCAAATAAATTCTCTATACAACCACTTTTCTCACATAATTCCTAAAATAATTTCCATTCAAAAAAATTGGAACCAAGAAGTGTTATCATGTTGAAAGAACAAGAGTTAATGTCAATTCATCTGAAGCGTTAATGTATTGTTTTTTCTAATAATAAATAAATTATTTATAAAAAATTAAATAAAAATATGAATATTTAATTTAAACTACTTTTACGTATAAAATCAAATCAACTCAAAAATAATTTGAAATTCGATTCAAAAATTAAATCGTTAAACTAGATTTATAAATCAAATAGGTTGAATATGAGCTAAAAACTAAGTTCGTTAACTAAATGAGTTGAACTTGAACGATACATAATTCAACTCGTTATGTTCATGAGTCAATTCGATTATATATGAGGTAGATTATATTATCTTTAAGAGTATGTTTAAATATTTGCTCTAAATCTTAGTCTCATTTTCTTTTAATCTAACAATTTTAATTGATAATTTATATTCTCATGAGCAAAATATTTCTACAAATAATTATGCAAATAAAATTAATATCGTCCAAATTTCAATCTTATAACTTTTATTTTATTTCTATATTTTTTTATTTAAAAAAATATTAATTTAAAATAACAAATATATATATATATATATAAAATAGACTTTAAAAAATTACTTTTAAGTCCGTGAAATAAGCGAGTTAAATCTAACAAGATAAACCTAACGAGTTGAACTGATATGTTCGTGAACTTCTAACAAGTCGAGTTTGTGCTGGAAAAAAAGTTTGTGATGAACTTGAACTCGAACTCGGCCAATTCTTAATTAGTTGAGTTTGAGCTGAAAAAAGTTTGTGATAAACTCAAACTTGAACTCACAAAGACTCGAGCAACACAATTTCAATCAAACTTCTTCTTCATTCCAAATTTCTCAAACCAATCACAATACTTATTCGCACAATTATTCGAACTCTTTTGTTTTTCTTTTTCAAAGTTTTTTCAATTTTCTTCTTTCTTTTTCTAATCTTTCTTTTTCACTTTTTTTCTTTCTTTTTCTTTTTCTATTTCTCAACCTCATAGCAACCAACATATAAATGATCAAACATTGTTCTCTCCAACTTGAATTCAACAAACATCAAAGTGTGAATACTCTCTACTTTCTAAGGTAAGATAAAAATTCAAATAAAAAATAATGGTTAAGGGTTCCAAAAAGGAAAAACTAAACACTCATAGACAAAAAATAACATGGATATTGACAAAAAAACTCAAAGAGGATACTAACGATCACACACTCACAAGGTGAATTGACTATTTGATTAGGTAGTTATAATGAAATAAAATATTTTGATCATTTTCATGCTTTTGTACAATCAACACAAACAAAAGATTAAACATAATAAAATTCAGTTAAAACAAGAATTGTGGCCTTCAGCATATATGAACAATGGAAAGTTTCCTCACAATTGGGGTAAAAAGGAAACTAAAGTGATTCAAGTCAAAAGCAAGTAATGCAAAAAGAATGAATGGTATGGTAATTATACAAATGAAAAGTTTCCTAAACATGTTATGCTACAGAAAGTGGTAAACGAGTACCTGACGTGTACCAACTTCAAAATATTATCATTACCATACATATGCAAGTTGAAACACTAAAATTCGGACAATCACCTCAAAATTCTTCAAGTTACCATATCAAAATTTGAATCCAAACAACAACAAAAGAATTAGAAAAAATAAAATTATACACATACAAATTTCCTCAAGCTAATAAAAGAAAGCTCTCGAAAAGTTAAACAAGTTGAAAAGTGAAGATTTGAGAATTTAGAACAAGTTCAATTTCAACTTGTTCAAACAACAATCAACACACTACCTAAATTAACAAAAATGAAAAACAATAAAACATGTTTGTTTTACGTCGTAAGCTCAATGTCTGTTATTTAAGAACGTTCCTCCAAGTTGCTTCCACCCGGTTATTTTTAACCAACACACAAGCAAACATGAAAGGAAACAAATAATGATATAACAAATTTATAAGTATAGTAAACATATACAAGTATAAATATACACAAGTAAAAATAGACAATATATAAGATATCTATATAACTCAAAAATAAAGGAATTATCGCAATGTGAAACAATAAACTAATCCTCGGCAGCGACGCCATTTTCCTGAAGCAGTAAAACGGCAAGCAAAAAGTAAAGTTATTAATTTACCGAGTGATATTTAGGTTAATCATATCGTGTCCACAAAGATTAGTTATCGAGTTTCCGTTCCATAAATCATCAGTTAATGAGTTTGGGGGGTTTAATGGAAATGGTGACAGTTATTAACAGGAAAAAAAATTCATTCTTCGAAGAAGAGACTTATCAACCATGCATATAATTCACTCTTCACAAACTTAAACATATCGACCAGTTATACTCAACCTACAAGACTCATCTATGTCATCATGTGTCAAACGCAACCTTAACAACACAGAAGTCAACCAACCTTAACAACATTGAAGTCAACCATGTTAATCGCGTTGACGATCTCTCATAGAGACACAACCAACACAGAGGAATTAATCACAGACACCCAAGTGAATTTCAGCTCTAAATATATCTCTAGAATCCAGAAACTAACTGACTATCATCCTAGATAAAAATCTAAGCATTATATGTCTATATAAACCCAAATCCTGAGCACAGAGCAAAAATTCAGGACAATACTAGACAAAGATTTGTAAAGTAAGTTTAATATAACGTCATGGGCGACAAATATACATGATATCAAATTAAATACATATACAAACCCAACTAAAAGAAAGTACACAAAGAAAAAGTGAAATGAACCACAAATCTCCTGAATTGTCAGCGCAGATCAAAGAGTCATACACCCTGGATCATTCGTATGAAAGCTCCATAGTTATAATCTAAGCTAATCTACCAAAAATGAGGTTGATGGAGTTGGGAGATCAAAAACCACACCCAAAACCATAACCCTTATAAATTAAATGAAAAGAAAATATATACAAAATCTGGTATGCACTTGTCGCCCGATGACATAAAAGCTTCGCCCGACGATGGCAATTAAATACAAGGCCCAGGTTACGCCACGTATGCAACTGGCTAAAAATATCCACCCTCGTCCGGCGAAGGGAAGCTTCGCCCGGTGACTTAACCAAAACTCGCATGGCGACCATGACGCTAAGAAAAGACAAAAGCTATTGGAATTTGATTAAAACCTCTCACTCCATGCTCGTCGGCCGAGACAGAAGCGCAAGCTCCTCGCCCAAGCTTTACCCAATGAGGTTTGACACACAACACTTCTTTATTTATTTTTCTGACTTTCTTTCTTTCCTTATTCAATCAATCTTGCATCTTTGGAGTTGCCCTTTGGACTTTTATTCCTCAATGCTCCAAACATACATGGGGTGAGAATTTCTAATCACCATTGGATTCCAAAGTTGGAATGTATTACCTTGATGGAGTATAAAGTCCAGTCTCTGACCAAGTCTAGAATGTTGTGAAGAATCTTGTATGTAAAGAGAATGAAGAAGAAGAATGGAAGCATCATATGCAGTCTGTGTGTGAAGAAGATTTCCTATGATGACAAATATCTCGACGGGAGCTGGGTATTAGTCTGATGAAGATGAGCATGTAACTGATGGAAAAGACCTTGTCGGGAGTTGGGTATGCGCAAATCTGCTTTCTGAACTCTTAGTTCAGAAATTGTTTGAGAGTTAATTTATCTTTATGACATTCAGGTGGTTGTAATAAACTGAATGAGCTGTAAATGGTGTGATCTTTTGAGATCTTTTTGTGTTTATTAGGGGCTTCTTGAAGGACTTCTCTGCATAATGAGTCTTTTAGATGATGAATCAAGAAGCAAAGCTAATGAGTTATGTGATATGAAGAAGCTAGTGTTCTATATGTGTAAGTATTTGAAAGATGCTTGGGTTATGGATGTGGAGCTGAAGCTCAACTTTATTGTGAGAAGAGGTATCTTTGGATATGTGGATTGGAATATGTAGATTTTGATCTTCTTTATAGTAGTATGTTATGGAAATGCATAACTACTATTTTTGAAGTCTTCACTAGTATCAACAATTGCTAGTGAATGAAAGGGTAGAGGAATGGATATCAGATACCGAGGTCTGATCTGAGTGTTTTTTTTAAGGAAATGGTTTCTTATACTACAAGTAAAAGTTATGGCAATCTTGAACTTGTGTAGCAAGCAAACTAAGAGCATTTGTTCTGGAATGTGTGAGAAATTTCAAATCAAGTGTGTCTTGTGTGAATCTCAGGTGTATGAAGTGGTTGCCCTCCACTGTGAAAGTATGAAGACTTTCATGTTTTCATGTCATGTGCTCAAGTGTCCATCTTCATAAGGAGCACTTATTATTGTAAGAACAAGATTAGTTCCAACCTATCTCAGAGTTTTGATGATAACAATAAATTATATTTAAGATAATTTATACTCTGATGAATGTGTTTTAAATGTCTCAGTTAATGTTCTGACAGAAAAGATTCTGAAGTGCTAAGTAAAAATTATGAAGAAATTCTTTGATAAAAGAACTTTTTATTCAAGCGCATCTGCTGACTCTGGTAAGACACTTTATTTGTTAAATATATCTTCTAACTTTTAGTAGGTTCCTTGCTCAGAAGATTACTTGAAAGCAAGCGCTGACCAAGTTCTTAGCAAGCAAAACACTGCCTAGAAGATGAGTGAAGCATGTTCTGACTTAAAGACATTGGAGCAAATTCTAAAAGAACGTTAAAACCAACTTGTATTGTCAAAGCGTAGGAAACATGTTCTTACATTATGATGTTTGCTCATTAATGCAAAGACGGCTGAAAGCACTCAAGTGTCTACAACTAGTTTCTTGGAAAATGGAATATTGCAAGGAAACACGCAAGCATTTAATGC